AATCCCTCGGTTATTCCCGGAGGACGGCAGCTTCCGCACGCGCCGTGTCTCCGGGATGCAGCATGCCCCTTAAGAAACGCTCTCAGTGTTTACAGCAGCACCCAGTCCTTGGGGTCTCGCAGCACTAGGACAGCACAGCAGAGCCCAGGACCTCCAGTGCCTCAGAAATCAGTGATTTTCGAGTTGTCCCAGAGCTCTTCTGGCTGGACACGCAGGTAAATCAGATGCATAAATACTTTGCTTTCACTCCCCAGTAATTCAAATGCAAACAGGAGGAATTAAGCTGCTGGAAAGAGAACACGCTCATAAAACAGAGCAAAAAAATCAATAGCCTTCCAGCACTTGCAAGCTAATCAAAGGACAGCCTGGGCAGGATATGCCAAAGGGGGAAAATCCTGCCTAGCAAAACTGCTGCAGCTGCTCAGGGCTTCAGATTAGATCAGTGCAGAGAGCAATGATTGCTGCACTTACTGCTCTTACAGTTACTGCTTAATTAGGAGTGAGGATTAAAAAAAAAAAAAAAAGAAGAAAGGAAAAAAGAAAAAAAGTTGGACATTCTGTCACTGGGAAAGGAGGCGCCGAGCTCCAAGCACAGCGGCGCTCTCAGATTCACTTGAGAAACAGGAGATGCCGGAGCGCCAGCCACCGCCGCATCTGCCCAGCCTCCGCGGTGCTCCCGCAGGCCCGCATGGGCCCGCGTGTGAGCGGTGCCTCGTGCAGGGCCGAGCGAGGCGCTGAGCAGCTCCTGGGCTCCGCACGCAGGCCGGTGGGGGATGCTGGCGCTGGGGCGCGCGCTCGCCCGCTTCCCGCACGCATCCTCTTCCCTCCCGCACCTGCTCATCCTCCTCCGCGGCCCCTGCTCGCCCCACACGAGCCCCCTTTTTGCCCCAAGGGGCCAGGCCCCGAGTGGGGCTCATGCGCTGTGGGGCTGCTTTCCCTGGACGCGCACAGTGCCCCGGGATGAGCGGAAATGACCAGGTGGGATGAAACCAGGAGGAAAGGCACTGCCCACAGAACTGGGCTATTAGAATAGCCTTTATTCTAATTTCCCAAGGCTGCCGGCTGAAGAGACATATGACCTCTGAAAACATCTGATAATTTAAGGCAATCACTCTTAGCTAATGCTTATCCTGTATTTAAACGGGAAAACAGCTCTGAGGTCGGAGCAGCCCCCAGCAACGCAGGCGTCTGCCCCAGCCATTAAGTAAAATCACTGGACGTGATAGTGGCTTTCCCATTTTGTTTGACCGCTGGCCAGAAGATGTACAGATGGGCTGAACCCGTGTTTGCCCATCGGATAGAGCTACAAAATGCTTTCCCACACAGGCAAAAGGGCGCTTGCTTCCTCCGTGGGGCAGGGATATCGCCCATGCAAGGCTAAGCACTGAATTTCCCAAGGAAGGCAGAAATCTTTTTTCCAATACTGGCAGCTTGCTAGTGATCATGCTGTCTGCAGCCTTCCCTGTTGCACAGACCACTTCTCACTTCTAGCTCCTAAAAATGAACTTAAGTTTTAAATTAAAAGGCACCTTTTGTCCTCTGAGTTCGAACCCTACTTCAGACCATCAGCTCCAACCTTGTGGCAGGGAATATTGATGTGGTGTTGGGCGGTTCCTTGCTGCTTTCTGGACACTTCATGAAAATTACCTGCTGCTGGATCCCTATCCTGTGGAGGGCAAAATCCATCCAGATACGCCCAGTACACTCTCGGACAGCTCCTTCCATCACATTTACTCATTGCAGGCCAAGGGCTGCAGTATCACTGTGTAAACACAACACAGCGAAAAGACAGGACCTGTCTTTTCACAGGCAGCTCTTTAAAGCACAGGGCTTAACCTGCCCGGCACTCAGATCAGTCATGTTCTTCCACAAAAACCTGCTATGAAAACCAAAGATATACATGCAAAAATTTGTTACACTGTGAGCAACAGGACACTGAAAATAAAATTTCAGGCTGCTAAGAACACCGTGCACATGTTCCTCTCTGCTTTTTCCCCATTCCGTAGACATTTTCTCCTGAGTGAATGCCTTGGAGCATCTCTAGATGACCACGGTACAGCGTCTCCTCCGGCATCCTCCCACCGGCACTGGGCACTATCCACGCCAGCCTTCCCGCACCTCCCATCTGCAAAGAGCTGGAACAAAACTCCATCTCCCACTGCAGATACCTCGACGCCACTACAGCGCTGATGCTGAACAGGGAAGAATCCCGATATTCCCCCGGGGGAAACCGTGCCGGGAATGCTGCCGTGCACATGCAGCAGGGTAAGCGACCTCCCATTCAAGCCGGGACTTGAGCTTCCACCGCGTAAACCCACAAACGCTGCTCAGTTCCTAGGTGCAGCAAGCGCACCTTGACTGCCCTCGCAGGCGTTCGCGTATCAGCTCATGGCATCGAGCGCGCGAAGCCAAGCCCGCGGGCCGCGCGCTGCCGCGGCGCCTGCAGACACGGCCATCAGAAAGGAAGTCTTTGCCGAGACCAAAGAGGTGAGGAAAGCCCCACGCTCTCCCGGGTGGGTGGCGCGGCACGGAGAGCGTTCCAAGCCACTGCGCTGGCTTCCGAGACGTTCGCGAGCGCAGAAACCCGGCCCTGTAGGAGAGCCCTCCCGTTCTCTCCAGTGTCAAAGGAGGGCAAAACACCTACAGGTATCCACTTCATAGGGACAATCTAGCACTGAAAGATTCCCACCAAGGATTTTCTGTGGCTTTTGTAATGTGGAGGAATGCTTTGAGTAGTGCTGGTGGGAGAGGAGGGAGAAATCAGTATGAGATTTGAAAAATAAGTTGTCAGTGGGGATCAGGTTGGAGTAGCACCATCCTGAAGCACACCAAGGTGTCTCAGCGGATAAGCACCCTTTTTTGTGTGTGCATTTCAGTGTAAACTGTGAGAAAACTAAAGCAATCTGTTGTTCTCTACTACAGGTCAAAGTTTTAGCTAAAAATTAAATTATTGGCTACATTATTCGGGATGCTTCTTTATTTTCTGTTCAGAGACTAACAAATTACTACTTAAGTGTTCTACATTTCATTTTGTGCTGGATACCAAGAAGTTACTCAGAAGAAAAACAAAAATATAAGAAGGAATGAAATATATTTCCAATTCAGAGGCTTTAAAAATAAAACAAAACCCTATAAGGAATCCAAAAGCAATTCAAATGCCATTTCATGTATTTTCAGTAAAATGCTTCCAAAAAAATGCCTATACAGCCAGCAAATAGAAATCCACTTCCAAGAAGACTGCAGACAATGATAGCAGATTAGAAGGAAAATGCTTCTGAAAGTTTCCCTGTCTCCAGTTCTCTGAGAGCTGCCTATCAGCTTTGAGCTGAGAAAGAAGAAAAGGGGAACTTCAGAAACCCTTCTTATTTTTCTCACTATTAGAACCTTATTCCCAAGGGCAACCACGATGATTTCAGCTGAACTGTTGGACACTTTAATTAATTTTTTAAGTAGTGGACAAGAATCAGTAGCGTCTGGTGCCAAGCAAGGAAGTTTCCAGCTGAGGGGCAGCCAGTCCTTATCAAAGCCATGTACATGAAAACAGGACTGTGTTTTATGCCATCTTGTTATTCACACTCAGGATATACGCAATTATAAACTAAGTAATGTTGTACATAAATATTATTCTTAATCTCTCTGTGTTTGCATTCCTCATCAGCAGAGTGAAACAACAGTTTTTGCAGTCTCTGTGTTATTGTTTCTCAGTTTTTGGACACACACACCATGGTACCCCATGGCTTTCAAGAAATCAGGGCCACAGCATAAATTTCTGTCACAATTGTGTTCTTCATGCAGCTTATATCATTTAAAACGACAAGTAGGCTCCTGGGGCATTTACCTTGCCCCGCTACTTGGTAAGGTCTTTATAAGAACCATGTTTTTATGCTGTGAATCAAATACTTCCACAAAATCATTTAACAGAGTCAATAATACCAATCCCTATTCATAGGTGTGACAAGGGGATTCGTCTCCTATTAAAATAATCTATCCCAAGTCCTGGAGAGGAGAATCGCCAGAAGTTAAGCAGGACGGCAGTTCCCTCCAGAGGGAAATCTCTCAGACCACTTGCCATCATCTCAACTCCAGCTCTTTATTATCATCATTAATTCCTGCAGAATTAAAGACCATGAGGCCAAGCTCCAGACAATGAACGTCCTCAGCAGCCGCGGC